ATATATATATATATATATATTATATATTGAAAACGCCGCTACAGTTTGTCATGTTCAGCTAGCAGTACGTTAACAAGATATAAAGCATTTAAGTTTACAACAAACATCTAATTGCAATATTAAATTTACATTGTGAAGGGTCAATTCAGGTTAATAATATATTAGTCATGTGTTTGCAATATGTTACCTTGGATCTTGTTATAAAAAAGTATTGCAGACTCTAAAATATTTTTACGGTTAAAAAGTAAACAGTCTTTCTATCTTTCTCAATAAATATTTTTTACATTTTTTTTTACGAATTTTAATATTTTCTAAGTCAAAATAACATCAGAAAATTTATTAAATTTTTTGGGGGTACGGGGGCCTAAAGCAAAAGATTTACTAGCCTTTCCCTTGAACCACCCATGGTAATATGAGAAAAATATAAAGTTAATAATTGTATATATTAAAAAGCTTGCAATAATATTGAAATTAATATCAATTTGTTAATGCTTTTTTTCTTTTAGGAAGATGATGATATGATCTTTATTTTCTTTGAGTTATTTTTGTCTAACGTCTTTTCTTCTCAATAGCATTGATGTTATTTTTCTGGGCCGAAGATAATACAAATATAATTAATGGTTTTTCTTTAATGTTTTAGCAAAAAATTATGCCAAGCTCGATTTTGTATTTTCTAAGTCTACTTGTTTTTATAAACTTTTTATTATTTTCCCTTTTAAAACTTTTGTTTTTAAAAATTGTGTATGTGTGTGTGTGTATATTGGAACATGTTTTTCCAAAAATAGTTTTACTCATATACCAAATACACTAGGATAAATTTTTTAATATCTTCTTAATTTTGAGATTAATTTGACTTAGTCTTAGGCGCCAATTAATCACGTAGTTTTAATCCTACAAACTGAACAAACCCACTAATTCCCACTTCTCCCATTATACACAACTTTAACTGCCATTATCTATCAATCTTCCCACTCTATATAATTAGGATCATTAATTTTAATACTCATTATAATTATAATTAAGCTCAGTTAATATTGCCTCTATAATTCTCTCTAGCTAGTGATTATGGCTCTTTTTCGATTTAATGCATTAATTTTCTCTCTTGTTTTTACCTCCATATTTGCTACTACTATTTTTGTGTCATCTTTTCAGTTTGAAATTGGAGGTGAAATTGGTTGGAGTAAACCAATTGGTAATGAGTCTGAAACTTACAATGAATGGGCTGCTAAAAATAGATTTCATATTGGAGATTCCCTTTGTAAGTTTAATTATTTCTATCTTTTTTCTTTCAAATTAATTCTCCTTAATTATATTTTCCCTATATTTTCATTAACATGCATTAATCTTGGATATATGGGTTTTTACTTGGGAATTCTTTTAAAACTACACCATATTTATAGTGTATTTTGGTAGAAAGGAAAATATTTTGCGGAAATTATCTTAATATTACATATTATCTAAAATTTAGAAACTATATTCCAGATAAACTATTGGAGAAAAATACAAATGAAGAAAGTTGTTTTGCCCTTTTAATGAATTTTTTTGAAGAATGAACCCAAATAGCCACCCACGAAATCGCTTAAACAAAAAATAATTGGTTGATGTATATTATATGTATATTTCATATATAGTATGTGTATAACATGTATAATCAATGTATAATTTAAGTCTGGTAGTTAGAAAAAGTAAATAGTAAATCCAACCGGCTATTTTTGTATGAAGCCCTTTTTTTGGTGTTTGATGTCAGAAAATAGCTTTGTTTATTCAAAATAACACCTTTACTGTAAAACAACTTGTAATACCTCGAGATGAGTTCAAGATTTAAATTTGATACACTGAATATTTATGTTCTTATTGCGAAATACATTGCATTTTTTGCAATTATGACTTCTCTAGTATTTGCTAATTTTTGTAATATTTACATAGTAGTATATAATTTTTGTAATTTTTGTTTTGGTATATTTGTGCAGATTTCAAGTACAAAGATGACTCGGTGCTAGAAGTCACTCCAGCTGATTACCTAAACTGCAACACATCAAACCCAATTTCCAAATTTGAAGACGGAGAAACAGTTTTCAAATTTAACCGTTCTGGGTTTTTTTATTTCATAAGTGGCCACAAAAATCATTGCAAATCTGGCCAAAGACTTATAATACGTTTAATGCACCCTTTTGAATCTGAAACTGCTTCGCCGGGGACTGCCCCGGCGATGGCACCAACAGTGGCGGCTGGTGGCGGTGATGACGGCGGAGATGGTTGGGCTTCTGACTTCTTGGGACCCCCTGCAATTAATTCTACTATTACACTTTCTGTTTTCAGTTATTTTGTTACTGCTCTTGGTGGTGTTATCGTCTTTTTTTATTTGCTTATGTAGAAGAATTAATTAGTCTATGATTATTTTCATGTTTTTATAATTTGCTTTTAGTTGTTGTTTTTCTATTTGGAAGTCTATTGACTTCTTAGTTATTTGTTATTAGGGAGTTTGACAATTATTTAATTGAATACAAAACTCTCTTAGTTATTTGTCATTTTTCTTTACAATACGAAAATTTATACTATGTTATTATACAATGTAGAGTGCGAACTAAGTATATTTATATAGCAATACAAGAATAATGTAGTATTTAAAGACAAAAATGATCTAACAGTAAGTAATCTCTACGCAATGTTCACCATATAACAACCCTATAATTATTAATCATGTAATGATTCCTTTCTTATAAGAAAGGCGAGAAAGAAAGGTTGCCTACTACTAATAAGGGCGGGTAAGAAAGAGAGGTGAGGTGACTAGCTTAGTAACTTTAATTATTAATCATGTAATAATTCCTTTCTTATTATTTGTCACATAATTAATATATTTAGCTTTAAACTTCTTTTCAACCTTAGTGAGATGATATATAGTCACATTAATATTTATAGCTTGTTTTAGACATAAGCACTAGTGACTGCTTTCACGGCTCGAAACCATGACCTTTAGGTTACACAGAGACAATTTTAACGTTACTCCAAAACTCCCTTTCAATGTCCGAAGAAGGACCGTACTCCAGGAAGTGTGATGTAGACAACCTATCCTAACATAAGTATTATTGTCTACTTCTTCTGTTTGAATCCGTAACTTATAGATTATATGGATTATAGTGCCATAAAATATACTATATGTATCCAATTAAGAATGTTTTAAGTATGACGCATGTGATGACCTGGGGCAAACTATAAAGCTTGGCTGTCTCGTGCTGAGGTGAAATAAGGCCAGTAAATGACTGACGTACTATAGCTAGCTACTTCTATTTATCGCTATTAGTGAGCGTTTGAACATAACAATTGTAAAATTTCAAAATAGGGCGAAATTTTTTTTCCAAGTGAAAATGGTATTTGAAATTTAGAGTTGTGTTTGGATATGAATATAATTTTGGATTGTTTTTGAAGTTTTGTAAGTAATTTGAGTGGAAATTTTGAAAAACAGTTTTTTTGGAGTTTTTCAAATTTTCAAAAATTTCCAAAATACATCTTCAAGTGAAAATTGAAAATTTTATGAACACGCGCTGATTTCAAAAAAAAAATTAAAAAAAAGGGAAAAATTTCTTATGTCCAAACGGGTTCTTAGAGTAAAGTAACATTTGATTGAACTTTGTGAAAGGCGTCATCTAATATTCGACTCATCCTCAGTCTTGTTGTCATACTTAGAATTCAAACAGAATATGTCCATTCCTTTCTGGTCATATAAGATCGTTGACGGATTTGTTTGCCTAATTATGACATTGATAAAGGAAATTGTAGTATTTGAACGTAAATATTAGTTTAGGAGATTTACCAATTTTCTTCTCGGCAACTAAGTGGGTGTTTGGACATAAGAATTGTGAAATAAGTGAAAATGGTATTTGAAAATTAGAATTGTATTTGGACATGAATACAATATGGAGTTATTTTTGAATTTTTGGGAGTTTTTCATATTTCCGAAAAAGTTCCGAAATTCAACTTCAAATGAAATTTGAAATTTTCATGGCCAAATAAATATTCCGAAAAAAGTAAAAAAATTCCAAAAAGAAGTACTCCCTCCGTTCTAATTTATGTGAACTTGTTTGACTGGCCACGGAGTTTTAAGAAAAAAATGAAGATTTTTTAAATTTGTGGTCCTAAACAAGTCAAAAAGGAGCCCACAGTATTTGCATGGTTATAAAAGTTTCTCATTAAGGGTAGAATTATAAGTTTAAGATAAATTGTTACCATATTTAGAAAAGGATCATTCTTTTTTAAACGGACCAAAAAGAAAATATGTTCACATAAACTGGAACAGAGGGAGTAATTATTTTTTTGCCAAATGGGCCCTAAGACTTGATTTATCAATCATCGGGAACCCTCGTAAAAAGAGCACGGGCTAGCCAAATTTCGGACTTGTCATTCAAAAATAGCCAGCGTTTGTAAAGTCATTGAAAAATAGCCACTATTTTGCTGCAATACGGAAAGTTCCAACATAATATACTGGAGATCGGTGCACCTGTGTATGAACTTCCAGCATATTATGCTGGAACTACAACACGTGGAAAGTTCCAGTATAATATACTGGAGATTGGAACACTGATACTCCAATCTCCAGTATATTATGCTGCACCAGTATATTATACTGGAACTCCAATATATTATATTGGAGTATTTTTCGTTTTTGAACAGTGTTTTCGTTCAAATTTATCTTTACGTAAAAAAATGACTAAATTTCGATTACTTTTGAAATTGTGACTATATTTGAATAACCAATTGTAAATCTGGCTATTGAATTTCTTCCAACTTCTATTTTCAAAACGCTAGTTGTTCCTAGATGCAGAGATTATCTTAGCTTTTCAAAACGCTAGTTGTTCTTATTATAATAAAAAGGATTTTTTCAACAATCATAATGATGTTTGTGTAGAGACTAGTAACACGACTTTGGGTGGAGTAGACTCAATAATATTTTTAACAGAAAACAATCACATTTTCAAATGAATTAAGATCTCTTTACCATTAATTAACGAATTTGAGTGATGGATATATATTTTTTATTAGAGTATTTCCTCTTAAATCATACCCAATAAAATTAAAATTAGAGTCCGTTTGGCCAAGTTGCCAAAAACGGCTTATTTTGAAACATGTTTTTTTTCTTCTCAAAAGCGTTTTTAAAAAAATTACTTTTGCAAAATAGCAGTTTGTGTTTGGTCAATTCGTTTGAGCAGTACTTTTTGCAAGCGTATTATGTTTGGCCAATCTTTTTAAAAAATACTTTTAAGTATCAAATTACGAAAAAGAACATAAAGGTTCAATTTGCGATTAATATTATTTAGAAAAGGATAATAAATTTGAATATTTATTATAAAAGAATTTATTTAAAATATAAAACATAAAGGTAAAATATAAATTAAAAATTTCAATTAATATAAAATATAGTTATTTCAAAACAATAACATTGAGTGCTTGGTATTACTTATTGTGACATATGCCGCCTTTTTATTTCTACTATCATTTCGTCTTGGATAGTGCAGAAAATCTTGAAGGCGCACAACTATGTCACACATGCTGGAATGAGTATGTATCAAATGATTAGCATGGATCAATTCCCAATCAACGACAACTATTGCAAGCCGAGTGGTAATGTACCAAAGGTGGCCTGGACAAGGCTGACTTGCTGTAAGCATTTAAATTTTGTTGGATTTAAATTTATAAAATAATTTAGACCATATTAAATTCAAGACATTAGTCCAAATAAATATTGTGGCTAGTAAATTAGGCTAGTTATTTAAATTCAATATAAATGTTGGGTTAATCCATTTAATTGGACTACAGATTAAATGATAAGCCCACTTCATTAGCCCAAGGTCCAAATGGCTATTAGCCCATCTTAAAGCCCAGGCTCATGTCACATGTCAAGTGATGTAGCAATCCAAGCCAAATAAATGAGCCAATGAAATCATGACATGTGTCAAGTGATGTGGCAATCCAAGCCAAATAAATGGGCCAATTAAATCATGCCATGTGTCAAGTAATGTGGCAATCCAAGCCAAATAAATGAGCCAATTAAATCATGCCAGGTGTCTGGATGGTATTGGTCAGTTCAAACGGACCAATCAAATCGCAGAGCCAAACCACTCCCTACAACTATAAATAGAGGTCTTCTTAAAGCTAGAAGACACCAGAATTAAGAACAAGAAGCAAGCAGAGAGCTCGTGGATCAAACACCGCAGATTTCTCTACAAGCTACAAGTTCAAGCACTCAATCACTCAAGCTACAAGTTCAAAATCAAGAACGAAGCCAAATCAAATACCAAGGCGTTCAAGATCAAATTACTTGTTCGTGATCAAATACAAATTCAAGTTCAAGGAGGAGATTCAAGATCAAACTTTACAAGCCCTTGAACCAAATCAAAGTCAAGCTCATTAGGATACTTTACATTCTTGAAGAATCAGAGGAATACCATAGAGATTTTAACACTTTCATTTATTGAAATCAAATACTACATTTGTTACGCAATTTTCCAGTCTTGATTATTATTTTTCTCGACGCAAAAATTTGTTGTTACAAATTTCTAGCACGCCCAGTGGGACCATCTCTATCTCTCATCTCTTCAAATTACCAAATTTCAAGAACACAGAAATGGCTCCTAAGAAGAACAACTTCAAACTCACTACTGCTAAGGCTACGGATTCCAAGTTATCTTCTGATGTGGAAAACTTGCTGGATGCTACTATGGAAAGCGTAAGACCTGTCACTAGGAACAAAGCAAACTGGCTGGGACAAAAAACATTTCAAATGCCGTCTGCGTCGGTTCCTATCTTTGATTTTCAATCCTCAAAGGGGGCAAGATCCTTTCCAACTAAATTGGAAGAAAGAGCAAACATTGCTGAAATTGTTGAAAAGACATTGGCTCTACTTAGCCCTTCTAGATCTAAGAACCTCATCACACAGGGCGATGATGATGTCTTAATCACTGGATCTGCTCCAAGCACTCCACGTGAGTTGTTCCACTAAAAGTATGGTGTAAGAGAAAATCCGTGCTTTGCTCCACCATCTACGACGGTTATCCAAGCAATGGTGACTAATACCTCAACTGTTGAAGAACAACTCACAAATTTAACAAAGGCAATTAAAGGGTTAACTAAGCATATGCAATATCAAGATAATCAAATTGTCAAGCTGACAGATAGAGTTGAAAGCATGATGGAGGAGATTCAAGTCATGCACCTGGAAAGCTCCCAATGATGCTAGATAAAGGAGACTCATCTGCAAGGCAGACAACGGCTCCTAAAGAATTTCAGATTTCATCTGAAGGGGTTATTCCCATTGACCAATTGAAAGACTTCATTATGGGAACCATCAAAGATAAGTACGATGTTGCTGCCAAGTCTTCTCTCGCATATGCGAAGCCATACACTGCGAGAATTGATAGTT